TCCCATCCGCCTCTATGCCACACTGACATATGCACACATGCTTATTACACACTTGTTCACATGCCGGCCGACACTTTTTAAAAATATATATTTTATTGATTTTATTTTTACAGAGAGGAAGGGAGAGGGATAAAGAGTTAGAAACATCGATGAGAAAGAATCATTGATCAGCTGCCTCCTGCACCCCCCACCCCCAGGGATGTGCCTGCAACCAAGGATGTGCCTCTATCCACTGAGCCAAACCGGTTAGGGCTGCGCACACTTTAATTAGCACCTTTAGCACAGTGGGATCATGCCTGAGCAGCTGCTCTGCTCCTGCCCGCTTCCCCCCACCCCGTGTTGGGGCCCTGTCCTGCCTGCTGTGTTCTCAGGGACGAGGTCCCTACACAGGGTGTCTGGCTGTCTGGGCCCACCTGGTTCCGGGGTCCTGTTTTCAGAGGTGGGTCGGATTCTGGCGCAGTCCTGTGTCTTTATGACCCTGTTCTCTCAGGACCACCTGCTTAGCTGTGCCCACCCATGCTGTGCACCTCTTGCCCCTTTGTCAGGTGCCCACTGCTCTCCAGCTGGCCCTTGGGACAGACCCAGTACACTCTCTCCCCATAAGGTGTGAGTCGATGATGGTTTAATTTAAGAACAGTTTTATTTTTGAATTATGTCCACCTTGCTAATTATAGAAAGCCCACAAAATAACAAAATAGCCCAGGTGCAAAAAGTCAGGTAGGAAAAAATAAGAGTTATCAAGAATCACATTGAGAAGTAAAATACAGAACTACCAGGAGCCATAGTGAAATAATGTAACTGGGCAATGGGCTTAATTTGAGCTTCCTGACAGCAAAGGCAAAAAGGGAAATAAGATGGGTTACGGTATCTGGAGAAAACGGTCTCCTATCTGTGTGTGTACAAGAAGGATGTTCTCCAAGACTGAGTTCTGAGGAGTGGGTTGCTTTGGTATCAAAGCTCACACTCATGTTGCCATCAACTTGATTGGCCTCTCTGGCCGAGAGATCTTCACAGAGTGGTACTGGGATGATTTGGGTGATGGAGCTAGGCCTGGGGCTTCTCCTTGGGCCTCTCATGGCCACTGCTTTGCTGGCAGAAAAATATATGGTGCTTCTGGTGTCCTCTGGTCCTGTCCAAGGACAGTGGGTGAGGGTGGGGGACATGTACACTTCAAACCAGGTTGTTCATGGTCATGGCGCCGGACCTATTGAATGCACTGGGACTAGGTTCCACGCCATTCAAGAGGGAGGAGGTACAGTCTCTGTTTCATCAGTGCAATCTGTCCTCAAAGATGGCTTCTGGGGCTGAAAAGTGGGGGCCAAACCCATGGGGTGTCTGAGCCTGCATTCAAGGCATCCTTATGTCACCTTCCCTTCTCTCCATGGGTTTCTGAAGGGCTTTGAAGAGCCACTGGCATTGGCGGCAGGTTTTGTACCTGAGGAGCCAACAGCAAGAAAAGAAGGACATTTGGGGCCATGTGGGGAGGTGGCAGTGGCCCCACTATTGTATGGGGGGTATGGAGAGTTATGAGCGCCCCAGGCTGGTGGGGCAGGGCCCCTCTCTTGTGGCGGTGCTGCGCCTGGACTGTGGACGGACCGGGAGGTGGGCACGGGCAGAGATGGGTGAAGAGGGTTCTCATGGGACATGGGGAGGGAGTCTAGTTTGGAAGAAGCCAGAGATTTAATTTAAAGAGGAGGGCCGGTGACTGAGGCCACTGAGCTCAGGGTGGCCTGACCTCTGACCTGTGATAGTTTGTATGGCGGCATGGCCTTCCATGCAGAGATGTGCGGATTCCATCCTGCCCGAGGCAGCAAGAGCTAGGAGACGGCCCTCACGGCAGCTGAGGTGTCCCTGCACAGGTGCTGCTGAGCTGGGCGTTCTTAATGCATCATTGTGCATTTTACCCAAAGCAGGGACGTTTCCTTGATACCCAAGGCTGCCTTCCCCGTTCTGCACATTCCCTGGCCGTAAGCTGGCTGGTCTGGTAGTGGCTGATGTGGCAGAGGGTCCCAGGCTCCTGTTGTCAGCACTGGAGATCGGTGGCTTTTATCCAGGCGAGACCAGGAGGCGCCTGGGCTGTGCATGAAGGATACTTGCTCTCAGCCCATCGTGCCAGCACAGTGTGGACCAACCCAGGAAACCTCCCTTTCTGGGTCTCCAGGACGAGCCTGTCTTCAGGGTGGATGGTCCTCAGGCCTTCTCCACACCCATCTGTGGGCCAGGAGACTAGTGTTAGACACTTGCCGCAGCCGCTCCTGGGGGCTGGGCTTGTTCTGCCTTCTGTGAGCCTCAGTCTGCGTATCTGTAAGATGGGAACGAGGCCGTGTAGCCAGGAGTGAGAAATGTGTGTGGGACATGAGTCTCAGGGCACCTTTCCCTCCCTGTCCAGGGCATAACAAACGTGGTGACACTTCCCACCTTGCTGACCCCTCTTCCTGTCCCTGCCCCAGAATGTCCAGCTTCGTGGAGCCGCCTGATATTGTGAAGAAACTGTCCTGGGTAGAAAACTACTGGCCCGATGACGCGTTGCTGGCCAAGCCCAAGGTGACTAAGTACTGCCTGATCTGTGTGAAGGACAGCTACACCGACTTCCACATCGACTCCGGGGGCGCCTCTGCTTGGTACCACGTGCTCAAGGTGAGCCCTGGGGGCTTGCCCCGCCCATGACCAGGTCACTGTGGGTCTGCAGGATTATCTGCAGTCTTCACGAGTACGAATCCCTGGGCAGGACCAGGGACAAGATATTTCTACCACTGGAAGTGTGGGGGACAGGGGCACCTCAAGACCAAAGCAACAGGCCTGCATTGCCTTTTTCTAAAAACTGGGACTCGTGAGGCAATCAGAGGTCCACCCAGGGGAGTGGTGACTGAGTGTTCAGTGGCCACTCTTATCCAGGGAAGGGAGAGCAGTGCTGGAAAGAATTCCTGAAAGAGTGGACAAGGGTGCTTGCTCTAAAGCTCCCCCTAAAGCAGTGGGGCTTTAATGCATCTGAGTGTCCCTGCAGACTGAGCAGGTCCCTTCCTATGTGTCCCTCAGTCTGTCTGCCCCGAGAGGGAGGGGCTCTGTGTCTCCTGGTGGGGCTGCCTTCCATCTCCAGCTGAGACACAGCCTCTCTAAGTACGGCTTTCCTGTAATTCATGAAACCAAGGGGGTCACAGCTCTGTATCCCCTTGGCACACATGGTACCCCTGTTGCAGCAGAGTTATGGTATGTGGGGTGGCGAGGGTGCCCAAACATGTTGGGGACTCCTATGCCTAGAACCTTCCGAACACACCGACTTCCGAACTTAAAACCCGTGTGGCTCCAGCGTTTGCCAAACGGTGGCCTGGGTAGGCTGAGCCAGGACCCAGCACCAGGACATGGAGGGCCCTGCCCAGGCCCCAGCATCCCGGAGTTGCGGCAGGCTCTGTCATCACGGAGCTCACATCACATGGCGAGCTGTCAATGGCCTCTCGTTGGCAGGGGGAGAAGATCTTCTATCTCATCAAGCCGGCTTCAGCCAACATCTCCCTGTATGAGCGCTGGCAGTCGGCCTCGAACCACAGTGAGATGTTCTTTGCCGACCAGGTAGACAAATGCTACAAGTGCACCCTCAAGCAGGGCCAGACGCTCGTCGTCCCCGCGGGTGAGTGCTCTGTCCCTGTACCTCGTACCCACCACTGGGGTCTGCCCCGGGAGGGCCCGTGTGGGTGTCTGCTGCCTTGTCCTGGGGCAGGCCCGTTGTGCAGTCACCTCTGGGGTCACTCAGGCCAAGAGCCCCAGCAGCCCCCAGCCTGGCTCTGCTCACAGAAGCTGGGCCAGGGCCCCCAAGAGCTGGGCCACGCTGTTTGAGGTGTTTGCTGATCTTGACATTTCAGACATCGTAGGAGGAAGCAGGACGTGAGCAAATAAGTGCCCTTCACAGGTGTCATAGTGCTTTACTCGTAAATATGTCCCCGTCTCTGACAGGCTTCCTTTTAAGAGGACATGATTACAGTCCTGTCGTTGCACCTTACAAATGAGTGGTTAACAAGTCCTTAGTGTCACCAAATAGCCGGCTGATGCTCAGATTTTCTGATGAGATCTCATGTTTCCATTGACTCATCTGCCCCCGTGCCTTTCTTGATCTAGGTACTCCCCCCGCAACACACACACACCTGGTTCCCCACAATCAGTTGTTTCCCAGTCTGGCCCAGGCTGCATCTCTGAGGATGATGTAGGGAGAACCCCAGCTCTCCCAGGAGAGGTGGCAGCCCTGCGTCATCTCCTTCTGTCCCTGCGTGTAGGGAGGGATTGGGAATGATGGGTAGCCTGACCCTGGGTGGTCTGAGCACGTCCCCTCCGCTCCCAGGCCTGAGTTTCCCCATCTGTACTGTTCAGGGCTGGATTGAGCAGACTGGGCCAGCTCGGACGCAGTCTCCTTCCTGGAGGGCCCACCCACTCAGTACACGAGGCCAGGCCAGAGGTCCTTCCATGGGTATCAGGTGGGCAGGGGCACTGAGTCCATGCTGGCCAGACAGGCCAGGCAGCCACCGAGAGCCTGGCGTGAGAACGCCGTGAAGGGCTAGCCACATCTGTCTCCCCCAGGCTGGATTTATGCCACACTCACGCCCGTGGACTGCCTGGCCTTCGCGGGACATTTCCTCCACAGCCTGAGTGTGGAGATGCAGATGAGGTAGGGCCATACCTGCCTCGGGGCTCCACCAGGCAGGGTCCCCACCATCAGTGTGATGCCACCTCCCCTGAGTGGCTGGGCCTCCATGATCGTGGGAGGAAGGAAAAGATGGGCCCTTGAGGTGCCTCGTGTCTGGACAGCCTCCATGGCCCATGAAGGGTTTGAAGTGAATGGAAAGGCCGAGCTGCCTTCTCCATAGGCACTGACCCAGAGGTCTAGAAGCCACGGCCAACGGGCACTGGGCACTGGGCACTCGCCCCAAAGTGATCCCCTGGTTCTCCTCACCACCCAGGGCCAGCAGGGAGGCCTGGCCAGGCATGGCCTCGGTGTGGCCTTGTCTGGCCATGGGTGTGGCACGGGCCTACCAGTGTTTAGTGTCACCTGCTCAGGGCTCAGAGCATTGAATAGTTCTTTGCTGTGGCTTCCAGAGCATACGAGGTGGAAAGAAGGTTGAAACTGGGCAGCCTGACCCAGTTTCCCAACTTTGAGACTGCCTGCTGGTACATGGGAAAGCACCTGCTGGAGGCTTTCAAAGGTACGTCCCAGCACCTTGGCCTTGGCCTACAGCTTCGGGCCATTTGTGTGTGTGTGGGGGGGTGGGGACGGGGGGCGGCTCAGGGACACCAGGAGGGGAACAGGGCTGCCCTCACGCAGCCGGGCAGCCAGACCCTGGGGCAGACGGAGCGCTGCCTGCAGGAGGCGGCCCACACTCCTCAGCCCCGGCTCAGTCCCCCTGGATGGGCCTGTGGGGCTGGACTGAACTCTGGCTGGGCCTGTGGGGCTGGACTGGACTCTGGCCTGTAGGGCCATCTGGCATTTCAGAAAGAGTGCTGCCACGTGGTCCCAGCCTGGCGTGCCTTCTGCTTGGTGGCCATGGCCTCATGTGGATACTGACAGGCTCAGTCGGGACATCCGAGGCCTGGGGGGTCTGGCTGGCCCTGGGCCACCAGCTGAGGGACTCCTGAGGCACCCCCGCTGTGTGTGTGTGTCCTGGTCCTGTGGGGGTCCACGGGGAGGGGCGGGCTCCAGCGGGTCCCTGACCTCCGAGGACATGGCGCCCTCAGTCCCAGGCCCTTGCAGGCCAGGCCGTGGGTGCCGGGGCTGCACCGACCCCCAGGTCCGCAGACTTTCCGCAGCCTTGTAAGGCACGGAGGACCTGTGCTGCCGTGTGCTCCTTTCCCAGCGGAGCCTCTGGAAGCTGCTCTGCTGAGCAGAGTGGAGCCCACCTATTGGGACTCTGGTTTGGGCTTTAGTTTCTCAGGAGAGGAAGCTGAAAATGTTTCTTAATCTGAGCCGGCTAGGTTTCATTGAAATTTGTCCGTTGAGCCCCAAATTCAGAGCTCTGAGCTATATCGTGGCAGAGGGAGCACCCTGCCCAGGGGGGTGTGGTGGGAGGCGGGGTGGGGAGTGTGGGTGGAGTCACAGCTGGCACTGACTGACAGCCCAGGAGGACTCTGGCCTGCCGTGCCATGCTGGGGTCCCCAGCCGCTCTGCCTCCAGTCCTCTGTGAAGGCTCATAGCATAGCTCTCCGGGGCCAGGAGGACGGAGGGAGCTGCCTCCTGCCAGGGAAACAATCACGGGTGGTGTCAGCTCTCTGGCAGCTGCTCTGTCCCTTTTCCATGGGGCTGGCCCCGGCCCCCAAGGGCATCTTTGTGATGGGCCCCAATGGGAACTGACCCCCCCCTCCCTGGTGTCTCAGCCGTGAAGGGGGCGATGTGAGGGTGGGGATCAGAAAGCGCTGAGGGATGCTTGGTGCGCACAACTCTGACCCCTGGCTGAGGTGGACCGGGGACCAGGCCGAGGGAGAGCCCGGCCACCTGTGTGAGAGGCCCGAGTGGGGACCGGGGGAAGCCAGTTCTGCCCTGAGGGCGTCCTGCATGTCCCCCAGGTTCCAAGAGGAACCGTTGGCAGTTGGGCAGGTGGCAGTGGGTAGAGGCCTCTGGAAGGTCTCCCACCCTCCACCCCACCCTGGGTGTGAAGTTGCCTGTGGGCAGCAGGTAAGGACCGGCCGTGCCCACCTGAACTCACCTCTCCATCTCTCCCCAGGTTCTCACAAATCCGGGAAGCAACTGCCCCCTCATTTAGTTCAAGGAGCTAAAATTCTCAATGGTGCTTTCAGATCATGGACAAAAAAGCAGGTAGGCCCTGTGCCAGGCGTGGCCCGGGGTGGGGGAGGATGGCAGGCGGGAAGCCGTCCCAGGGCTCATCTGCCTTTCTGGGGAACTAGTGTCTGAAGAGTAGGAGGTGCCAGCAGCCCAAGTCAGACAGCTGGGTGTGGGGTGTGGAAACGGGAGCGCGCTTCCTCCTGGAGCCTGGTCTAAGGTGGGGCAGGGGGGCCTAGAGATTGAGGGGGCCAGGCTGGTGGTAGAGACAGCACTGAGTGAACCCCGGGAGAGAGGCCAGGGAGCGGGAGGACTCTGAGCAGCCACTGACTGGCTGGCCAAGTGTTACACTGTAGGCAGGAGAGAGGCACTCCCGCTCAGCCCTTCCCGGCCCAGGCTCAGCTCAATCCAGCTTTGCTCTTCCTCCTGGGACTGTCCAAGGCCACCTGCAGGATCACTGTCCTGTGCCCCTCACTGTCCTATGCCCCCCACTGTCCTGTGCCCCCATATCCCTCACAGGAGCACTGTCCTGTGGCCCCCACTGTCTTATGACCCCCACTGTCCTGTGCCCCCATATCCCTCACA